TTTTTTTTTTTTGCTTTATTTCTATAGTCTATAAATATAAAATTACAAAAAGATATAAAATAAACAAAGTTCAACGACATTTCATTTAAGTTTATTTTATATAGAATTTCGCACATGATTGTTTTAAATATAAAAAGCCTACAGTTGCACACCTATATAATGCCTAGATATTCTAATGGGATCAGAGCGAGAGTATTTATATATAGATAAGACTGAAAGATTATCGCATACTGATTTGGTTATTCTTTTGGTAACAAATGGAAATAATAAGCATTAGAGAGAGAGAGAGAGAGAGAGAGAGAGGGAAACTTAAAACAAACATATTTCTGAGGCGATCTAATCGCACGTCTGCTACGTAAAAACAGAAGTTGAGATAAAAGAATAGAAAAAAAAAGAGAAGAAAAATATGGAAACTTGATGACTTAAATGCACTTATTAGGTTGAAAACGGAACTGATCCGCCTATACAGCCTATCATAACTAAGCGAACGATCAATTGAGATATGGGGACACATGTGACTAATAGCGAAATTTACAATCCTCATATATCAGTTGTGAAGGTTGTAGGTATCCAAGATTCGCTTCAAGGCAACTATAATTTTAATTTTAGTTTTAATTTTTTTTTTTTTTTTTTTTTAAGTACAAAGTTGTTAAAGAGCTGTGCTCTTAAAGCAACGCAATAATATGACTAAGCACCATATCGACCTTGGCCATAAAATATGCACAAGTTTTCTCGCTGCCTTACCACAAATGGACAAATTGATTATTTTAAAATGTAATATAATGCGCAACAACGAGAGTATATTAGTTTCGTCATTTCTTTTGAAACATACCGGTTTGCTTACATGTAAATATCATAAATGGCCATCGTTGGAAGCTAATTCAGCTTTTATCGCGTGCCATATACAACTCTCAATAATGGAAACATGTTTTCGCTGTGCAGCAGCTTAGGTAGACTTAGAATTTGTAAATGAGAAGAAAGCTTTATGGATAATAACCGACACATACAAGTAACAGTCAAAGAACAGCTGTTGTTGTTATTATTATTATTATTATGCTTAAGAGAGAAATGGAGAAGAAGGATATTTTAGAGAACGTGTGAACAAAATAATGGATAAAAATCTAGAGCAAGGCAAAGAAAAACTTGCGTCATCATTAAAAATGGAAAAAGAAGCGAAGGCGAAAAACGAAAAGCGAAAGGCGAAACGTGAAAGGCGAAATATATAGTCACTTTTATTAATACAAAGACAGAAAAAACAGGATTTTATTTATTTTCAAAAACATTGACATCAAATTCGAAATCCTGCTTCTATATCTGTCTTTTTTTGGGATTTTCACCAAGCTTCTTCCTAGCTAGAACGTGAGAAACACACACTTACGCGATCTAATTTTGCATATATGTTTGTATATACACTTGTAAAATTATTTCTCTCTCTCAGCATTCCAAATGCAAAATGAAAACGAATGGTGTACAAACTGAAAACTGCCAGATTTGACGATAGTCATATCAGTTTGCCCCGTAGACATTAACTTTTGATCAACCAAAAGGTGAAAAAAAATTACTCCAGATTAGGCAAGTTCTGCAATAGATTTGAGTTTTTTGCGAGCACAATTCAAATAAATGAAATTTGGATCGGCATCGACACTTTACTCGAGTACATCACTCAGAGTCAGTTATAATTTTTTCGAAAAACATTTGCGAAAACCAAAGCGAATTTCACCTATGACCCATAGTTGATTTATAAAAAACAGAAAAAAAACGGATAGATAAAGTCTAAGTAAAACGTCTCGAACGGAATGATGCACTTATTCGCGCGATGACAAAAAACTAAAAATCAAAACTTGCTTAAGAACATATTTGGCAAGACTCCCACATTGACGCCACTATACACGCCATATAATTTTTTTTGTGATGTAATTTCTACAAACACAAACATATTTATTTACACCGACATTTGTTAAGCCTAATGATACTCTTAGCTCTTTGAATGTGTAATTTTATAGCTTAAACAGATTTAACAATTACAAGTCTTTTTGATTTCATATATAAACACATATATATGCACATTTATATTTATATTTTATATATGCATTTAACAAAAGGCTGTTAGTTACTTTTGCGTGGTCGCCACACGAATCATTTAATAAATGAGTTATAAACGAATTGAAAAGCGTACTACGCTTCCAATTCAATATAAATCAATCAATATATAGATAAATGACATCAATTTGTAATAAAGCAATAAAACTAAGATGAGAAGAAGCTAGAATTAGAAGAACACTTTCAGCCAATAGACTCAGGCGATTTTATTTAACTTGCGTATGTGTTGTTAAGATAAAATTATTCACACCGTTGTTTAACGTCTTCTTACGAGAAATTCAATTATCATATTAAGCGGTCTCGTTTCGATTATTGTCATTGAGACAGAACAAGTCTTTTTTACTTGTTCGCGCAACTATAGAAAGAAAAGAACAATCAACTGTTTCCATTTTCAAAAATAAGGGAAAAAGTTTACATTTGATATAAGTCGAATTTTTTAATACCTACTTAATATATATACGCGATAGACAAATATCGTACATAGCATAAACAAATAAGGAAATTATAGTTGGTTGGGGCCGAACCCTTTGCACCCATCACCGTTATCCTATGAAGTTGGCATATCCCGCTATATATTGGTTGGACCGGGCTGATTTTCGATATTCTTGTGTAGTTGTTGTGATGTTTGAATGGGCGGCCTGCTAGACAAACGAATACACAGACAATGCTTAGCTGATTTCCGTATATAAAAACTGACCAACAATTTATATACTTTATGAGGTTTTGAAGCCTGTGCTCCTCCACGTTATAAAGGTATTAAACAAATATTTAATTTTGAATTACTATAATATTCAATTTTCCACAGTTCTCTGCATGTATTACAGCATCGCCAATAGCATACAAATTTATATTTTTGTCGATTTATCGGCGGTACTTTTGGAGTAATGATAAAGAGAAATATTCTCCGTTTACATGGTACGTGTTGGCGTGTTCTTCGACTTATCTGGCCCACTTTTATCGTGTAAGAACTTCGAATGTTGCTGCAAAATTTGAAGTCAATAGCTTCATTTTTACGGCCTTATACAGACGGACATGCTTAGATCGACTCAGAATTTAATGCTGATCAAGAATATATATACCTTGTGGGATTTCTGAGATTTCATTTTGGGCGTTGCAACCGTTTTGACATCCTGCGGTGATGGGTATAATAAAAGTATACATATTAAGCATGCTACTTTATATATATGTGACCTTGTTCGCTTGATGGCCCACATATCGCATAATATTCGAAACTATTTTTCATACAATTTGGCAGAATTATTGTGTAAACTGAAAACGATATGTACACTATTTCGCCTCGTTTGCGTTGCCCTATTCATTCTTCAGTTCTGAACTTAAAGCTGTATAACTTTTTAAGAAAATAGGAAATATTCGTCTTCTCTTATTCCTTCCTCATGGTCAAATCCATAATCGATTTATGTGCTTTTTGAAGTTGACCTTGCGAGTGTAATGTTTGTAAGGCCATAATTTAGAAAAAACGGAAAAATTATCAGCGGACGCATTCATGAGTAGCTGTCCTCTCAGCTTCAAAAGATGAAAAGCTGACTGATGGCATGATTAGATATATTCTGATATTCACGTTCACCAAAAAAATTTATATATTTAGTGTATCGTCTACGCATATTCCTATTACTTGCAAATATTTTCCAAGGACATATAAAAAAAAAAAATCAAAATAGGATTCTATTCGTGTGTCAATCAGTCACTGTATATAATTTACACAGGGCAGAATACGGTTGGATTAAGTTACTTAAATGCATGTGTGCAACTATATCTTTGAAAATTCGCAAGACTGGTCGCGGAAATGAATTTACCGTTCATAGATGGTGAGGACACTTCTATGTTTTAGCGTTTCAATGAAAACTCGGATTACATACAAATAAAAGATCATGAACGGAAATGCTGGTGAGTTGGACAAATGAATTGTTTTTCTGAATGCAGGAAATTAGAAATTATTTCCATGTAAAGTAGGTTTAGGAATGGAATCATCAATATGCCTATGAAGAAGAGTTGTTTTGAATGAAGGTAACGGAGCGGTTCAACAGATATCTTTTAGACAAAGACGACAAGCAGTTTGTCTTTGCCTTTTAGGTTATCATTGAATCAAGAAATAATTTTATAAAAGAAATCGCATGCAACCCCCAAACTATCGCCACCACGGATAGGAAAAAAGCGATAGCAGTTGCGACGAATCGGATATAACCTCTATAGATACAGAATCCAACTTTTGCTGATAAAATCTAAAACCGGAATATAAAACAATGTAAACAAATACTAGTTCGAAGACTCGCTCTAAGAAAAGGATAACTTTTTTTTTTGATTTGCTTGAATTTTATACAATATATGACAACAAAAAAAAAAAAAAACAAAAATAAGTTAAAACAAAAACGGCAATGTCATTTTAAACTTACCTTAACGCCAACACTTCAACACCTCGCATACGTTTTATAATAGAAACGTCAGTGAGATCACTTCCCCTTTGGAAGAAAAGTAAAAAAATAAAAATAAAAAAAATGCAAAGAAAATTTAAATAAGTAGGTGGTACGGACATAACTCGTTGATACCTAGTGCACTTTAAGGTCATACATACATTAAAACATATATATATATATATCAAAGCTATTTATTTATTATATCTTCAACCAATGAAAAAAATGTGATGGCAGAAGTGATGTGAGTTAAGTGGGAGAAAGCAGGAAGTGAGGCGCAAGTGTGTCAAACATTTTCATTGAAATAAAACCCATTTGTGACTGGGGTCTTCTTACACAATTGCACAAATTTTAAAAGCATACTTGACGGAATATATTTTTCAGAAATTTGATTAAATCAAGCATCACAGCTTGCAAGCCATTATCCAAATATTGCAGTTTCACCATTTAACCTATTTTAGCATATTGAACCTAAGGAATACGTATCTAAGATTCGTTTCACGAATAAATACAATTTTTATATGAGAAACTGTAAAACTAGAAAGCCAAAAGTGTTGCATTAGACGTGTTTACTTTTTTTAAAGGGCACATTAAGTGCACAATGATATAAGAAGATGAACTTTACTAAAAAGATTTCTGATGGGAGTGTACATTTTTTTAAAAATCCTCAAAACTTTTGTCAAACGATGTTAAGCTTCTAACTCGGGCGAAGCTAAGCAGCAAGTAGGTAGAAGAAAACAACTTTCAACTCAGGCCACTCAATATACTTTTTTTGTGTGCTTAACAAAAACAAATGATTGATTGATGATGATCAGCGGCGTACAGTTCCGCTTAGTTTTGAATTTGCATAACGCATACATATAAAATGAAGAATAGTAGAGTAGAGTAGGCCGACAGGTCACTTCGACTTCGACTGCCGATATTAGCTTTCAATCCTTTTTTCCCTACAAGGTATGGTAATTAAAGTGAATTCAGTGATGAACCTATCGCTACTTCTTCGTCTCTGCTATGTTTTCTCCCTTTTCTTAATCGTGGAAAAATGAAGGGAACAGCAAACGAAGTAGAAGAAAAACGGGAAAAAGGGATCAAAACTGAATTATTTATCAAAGGAACGGAAATATCACTATATTATGTTAAAAGTATTATGTTAAACGTAGTTTAAAAGGATTGTTGACGTTTGTTCGATTGGTGGGCCGAAAAATATCCGTCCGGAAAATGAAAACGGCAATTATTTTTGGCGAAGGTTGACAAAGACATTTGTGCATCCTACCATCAAAATTGTATTCATTTTACTTGAGTGAATTGATATGAGTGCTTTCGTGTAAATGGAAAAGTTAACTACCGCACTGTCATTAAATATTTGGTATTAAAAGGCAATCCGCCTACACAACTTGGAGATAAATTAGACGCTGTCTATGGGAACTCTGTACCATAGGTTAGCCCGATGAAATTTTTGGATATCACGAAGCGCGACCGCACCTGTTTCGTATCGGCGAAAGTCGCATCACAAATAGCGCTACAACGATACCAAATCTTATGAATCAAGATTTTAGTCTGAAGAAGTTGAAGAAAATATGAATATGGATGATAAGACATTCATCAGACTTCCAATAAGAAGAATAGGCTGCATATACTGCGTATTGGGCACCGCTCTAAACCAATGAAATGTTTCGCTGGAAAACGTTATCGCAGCAAGAATTGATATAATAAAGCCAGTAAGTGATTAATGGAAGTGCCATCACAATACACACAAACAACGAAGAAGAACTAAACTGGAATGTTCTACGCCATCAGCTGTACAATGCCAGACATTGAGCTTCCTGATTACCCTTTGTTTCAATTGATGGCTTATTATGAGCCTGAGTAGCACGCTTCAATTCTCGTGACAATTGAAAGCAACTCCTTTGCATGCAATGGCAGACAATGCACTTTGACAACACTTTGAATAAAATATATATCTTCTACCAATTTTTTTAATAAACACTCAACTTTAATACACACATTAATGGTATATATGCAAACGTACATTTATATAATGTGTATGTGTACGTATATGTATATATTGTGATATATTTCTGGTACGATATGATGAAAGAAAACGGAACATCACATATGGTTTTAGAACTTATCGCGACGAGGGAGAAGAAGAAAGACTTGGGATAAAAATTTGCTTGTCTTGTGCTAAAGAGACGATTTCTGAAGATGAGCTCGCGGTTTCGACAGACAGGCAGGGAGAAGAACACAACCCCATCATGTTCACATTAGTCAAAAATATCTATATAATATAGAAACTTCGATCTTTATTTTTCTCTTTCTCTTCTTCCTATCGCTCTTCCTTACCGTCTCTCTTAGAGTGTGCTATCTTCGTGAAGTGTGCGATACGTGTAAAAATGAATTGGAACGCATTGAATTTTGGATGATAACAATAAATAGAAAGTGTGATGAGGATAGGGTATATCAATAATTCAGCTTAAGCCCTCAATATTTAATGTTAATTATGAATTAAATTAGTAAAGTATGTTATGAGTTTTGTGGTTATGTCACGCTTGAAAAACTTAAATAAAACATGATATTCATGGAAACATTGTCGAAGCATGAACTTTTATATAAAATTGTAAACATTTTCAAAAGGTATGCGCGTACAGAAGTTGTATAATAGCTTAGAGGCGTGACATACATTACATAAAATAATAGAAGCTTATGCGGTACTTTTAAAAATCAATCTTTTAACTTAATTAAAATGTTTTGAATAAACTTTGATGTTCTCGCCACTTAATATACGTTAATCAAAGACCAAAGCTATGAGTCACGCCGTATTTGCAAGATATAAATTGCATCTGTTGACTGTCCAATCAACAACGGTTTACCATTCCATTCACAAGTTTCATTATTTCCTCTTGCAACAGTCGAAAATCGTAGATTGACGAAATTTATATTCGACTTAGGCTACAATTTTCAATATTAACTATTATCCACTACTACTGGATACCTATACGTGCAGACATAAAAATATATGAAAACCTAACGATATTCGTAAGGGCTTCGAATCATACGTAAAATCAAATAAAAAACTTCACGTTCATAATCTCTTTCCTTTATAGCAAACTGTTGAAGATTGTGCTTTCTCTTTCTCCGACAAAAGTAATAAGAAAATACTCAAGATCAAGGTTATTCTTCTAGATAAAATATCGAGTTTGCGTTCATAATAGCAACGAATAAACTTGATTAAATCGTTTCCGCAATTCATGCTAACCCAACTTTTTAGTGTTCTTCCAAGCATCATTCTTTCATGAGAGCCACTTACCCTCACTATTCAATATAAGAAAAAAATCGGACGATTCATAAATTGATCAAATATATAAATATATACGCATTAACTGAGGTGTGGTTTAACGAATGATTTTCAAATGCTTTAGAAAGCGAATCCCAAATTTAGCTGCCATCCGCTACACAATAAAAAAACGTATATATTAAGAGAGATAGATTGTAAGATCTTATTGTCGTCGCATTTTAGAAAATTATCAAGTTCAATTTTCAATATAATAGTTACATAGGTGCATATACAATTGTAAAATGAAAAAAAAAATGAAATCTTAAGAAAACACATGGAAAGATAAACTAAAAAAAGTAATTGCAAATGAAAGATAACAAACGATAATAATCATAACAACGACAACAATATTAGATTAGATTCGGCTCTAAGATTAACAATTAAACAATTAAGCAAAACAAAGCCAGCGAAAATAGTTAAAAAAAAAACAAGTAAAAAAATTATATTCGATCATGACCGAAGTTTTTATACCCATCGCCTTGATCCTAAAAAAAAAGGAAAAGAACTAAATTTGTGGAAATTTGTATGACATAGTGTGTTGTAGTGTTGTAGTTTATGAGTGAAACGTAAAAAACACGGAACACTGAGACGTTCACAATTTTTGTTATACAGATGTGTAGGCATTGTAGGCGTCAACTTTTGTAAACTTTGAAAAGTTTAGGTCACTGTCAAATTATTTTCCAAGCCCAGTAGGCGATATCTACATTTTCGCTAAGGGGAAAGTGTTCATCACAGATACCACACAGTTGGGCGAACAGATCAATGGACAAATGAAGGATCGACATGCATAAGTGCATTCCGAGTTTAAAACGGCCAAGAAATTATATAATTTACGGGGTTTTTGAACGTCGCTTCTGTCCCTAGCAAAAGCTTCGAAAAAAACCCATTGAGTAGGCCTACCCGATTTTTTTCATTTTTGTAAACGTACTACGGCATTGCCCATAGAATGTGCAGTCAAATTTTTGCAGATTTATCTGGTGTAGCTTATGAGTGATGAACCGAAACTAATTTTTTTTTTTTTGGAAAACACCGATGTCCTCCGTTTACGTACTACTGCAGTCGTGTCCTTTGACCGATTTGACCCATTTCCAATGCCAACTTGCACACAAGAACTTCCAATGTTTCTGCCCAATTTGAAGTCGACAGCTGCAGTTTTATGGCAAGGACAATGTTTACAACATAGATGGGCAAACGGATATTCTTAAGTCGATTCAGAATTTCACACCGACCAAGAATACATATATACTTTGTGGAGCATCTGAAACTTTCTCCTGCGCGTTGCAACCGTTTTGAGAAAATTAATATACGTCTCATCCTACCGTGATGGCAACAAATTATGTGGACGCACTGGATCATATAATATGCTATGTAACTGTGAGCTTCGTATGGCATTAATAGAGAATGTGGTATTTATCGTAACACTGCTAGGGCACAAATATATCGTCACGTTTAATTGATTATTATTATAATCTATGCATATAATAACATACACACGTATACACACTATTCATAGATCCCGAAAATAATATAATTAAAACTCAATAACCGTCAATAACAATTTAGACGGGAACGAATTTTTTATATCTGCCGCAAGTTGAAACGAAAAAGTTTCTGGCAAATATTGATTACATCGTTACGAAAATCACATATTTGATAAAATAAATCAAAACTCAAATTGCGCAATTTTATTGAAACCGAATTTCGCCAAAATGTTGAGTAAGTAATTGCAGCAAATAGACATTTTCGGTGCGTTCTTCACCGGTATTACAAGCTAAAGATGTCTTATGCAGCTCACGAATCACGACAAGATTAATGAATATTCACTGTTAAGATATCAAAGCCAACGCATAAGAGGATAAAAGAATTTCACTAGAAAATACATAATACTCTTTGATAAGAAGTCTTCAACCAACTTTCATGGAACTTTGTTAATGGTTATGCTCGCAGGTAAGCGCAGTTTTCTTACTTCCTCTTGAAATTGTTTACATTTTATTATTGTAAGTAATAGGGCAATGACACGTAATGTAACAGTACACAATTAAATGTATAATTTTAAGAAAGATTTTTTTTCATTTGATTGTCTGCTGATTGATGGAATAGACGGCACAACATAACTATAGTAGAAATAATTGCCATTATTTTGTTGCAAATTCACTACAAAGTGTATTTAATTTGTTACGACAAAGCAAAATTTTGCTTGATTTTTATGTGCTTCCAATGGGTATGCGAAAACAATCAACAACGAAAAAATGCAACGAAGCATAGTGACCACGTTACACCAACAGGACGGGCACTATTTTATGAGCTATAATTTATGGCAATAGAGAAAAGCGAGTGGGGATTTAAAAAAAAAAAAAAACTTACCAGCAATTCAACTTTTTTATGGATCCCAAATCTGATTGTTTGGATCTAGCGATTACCATCTCTTCAGTAAGGCGCGACATGATGATAGTTGAATTCTATATGACATAACACAACAATAATAGATAAATGTCAGAATTTTTTTTTCTTTTTATAATGTATACATGTTTGTTTGTCAAAAATGCTCGCCAACTATTGTGAAGTGAATGTGATTTAAGTAAGCAATGAGTGATTGCTTGCCGTCAGATATCTACTTCAATACGCGAAATTAGTCGATATAAAACTTACAACAAGTAACAGTAATTTTGTATTTATAGCAATTGTTATAATAATGGATACGTTTTAATGCGTTACAACAACGGCAGCAATTGTTTTGAGTTGTGGAGGTCATAGAAGACTTAACGAACGAACACCAACGTCAACAGGTTTTTCCTGTTTTTTCGCCGTTAAGTTAACATATGTTCATTTGTATATTTTCTAATAATATGCTAGCTGACAATAAATATTCTTCTATGCAGGAGAATGCGCGCTCTGTGTAAGTTACACTTTTTTTTTCATCTATTTTACTTTTGAGAATATTTGAAATCTTCTGACCGTCCTTTACGGCAAATAATATATACGTGATAATGTGTAACGTATTTAGACAAAATTTTAATACAATTTCTAATTCTTATTTTAACACCGTTCTTGTTACGATTGTTACTTTATGCTATAAAGATGAATGGAACAAACATACAGTGCATATCTTTGCACGTTTTTTCTTTTTATTTAACGAGTAACTACTATCTCATGGATGACTAATTGTGTTTTTGCTGTTTATTGTGCTCTGTTTTGTATTTTACTCTCTTCCATTACAGCTCTTTATAAGCTTATGACTCTAAAATGTACGTGTATACTGTCTGATGCGGTGCTCTACGAGCTCAACTCTTGGATGCATTTTCGATTTGATTGCTTTTTTCCTACGATTACGAAATTTATTTATTCTATTGTTTACTACGTTTTTTTTGTGGAGAAAAAAAAAATATATATATATACATATTTCTTAAAGCTAAACCAAGCTACGCTTAAATTCATTACATTTTCCGGCCTTCAGCTAATTTATTTCACCACCAATGGAAATCGATATTTACCGTTTGTATCTGTGTGCTTCTTCTTGTTTATGCCTTTTCTTTTTCTTTAAAATTCACAGATTTTCTGCCGAAATTATTTTACACATGCACACACTACACGTTATTTTTGCCAAAAGTGAGCAGTTCTGCCCCTTCTTATTTTCTTTTGTGATTTATATTTTTTTTTACTAAACAATTACAATTTAAAAATCAAATCAAAACTCAATTTTTTACACAAATATCACAGTATAATTTGTTGAAAAATTATTCTAAACTTATATATGTATATGCATGTATATGTGCGTAGGTTTATGCTGAGTGTTTGAAGAGTATTTTTCATAAAATTTCCGCATTCATTTTTCTCGGGTAAACTGCAAGTCGCCGTTTTAAATAATCGCGACTACAATGTAATATATTCACACATAATAGTTTAGCGTTCATAATATAAACCAATCCGCATTATCATCCACATCCGCCATTCAAGCTACCTACTGAAAAACGATGTAAATGGCAAAACGAAAAATATATAAAACGAATAAAAGGTCGGATTAATTCAACGTTTTTGAATGAGTTTTACTCTTATGTTCTTCTTTAATCAAGACATTTTTACAATAACACTAAAAAATAACTTCAATTAAAGTATTTATCGTGTGTTAACAGTTTTCTTCTCAATTTTATATAAATTTCGCACAAGCTTCTGCGATAACAAATCCACACATCCTCTCATTAAAGATTCAAGAAAACGCTGTATTTGTTGTTTAACATAGTTTTCTTTTGCTTCTACTCTGCGAAAAAAATAATTATTTTCATTTTTGTTAATATAACGTTTTTATTTTAAGTTAAGTTTTACAGATTATCTACTATATTTTAACTTTCATTTATAATTTTAAAAAATACCAACAAGACCACTGCCTTTCTTGAAATTCACAAAATCTTTTTATTATTTATTATTATGTTATTATTTTTATTATTTCGCGTGTTTACTTCAGAACAATGAAATTAGTTAATTTACTTGAATTACGTATATTCGTATTCCTACACAAGCTCCCGCGACAACAAATTTACACCGTTTGAAAGTTAAAAAAAAAATCCAACAACAAAATACACACGGTACTACTTTTATAGCAACAAAACTCATTTCTCAGTAAATTTTACTCTCAGCAAATTCAAAGAGCCACTCAGAGTTAGAGAACAAGGCAATTTGATTCTCGCAAATTCGAAAAGTCGCTCTGCAGTCTAAGGGAGTCTTCATAAGAAATGTCCAGAAATAAATTTTACTCTCAGAAATAGAATTTTACTATCAGCAAATTCAAAACGCCACTCAGGGTTTATAGAACAAGGAAATTTTATTGTTTTTAGGTAATTGTAAAATTATTTTACTTGGAATAAGCGAAAAAAAGTAGAAAGAGAATCAACGCTTGTTAACAATTGCTTACATGAGCATAAATCTCCAAGTCTTTTTCTAAGACTAAAATTTAATCCCTTGCAACCGAACGGCGCCCGAGAGGCACCATCCTATTCATTACCACAATTTACCATTTTTGATAATATTGTACGTTAAACTGCGCCTTCGTTGTATATTTTTTTTACTTAGTGTGAGATTAGTCCGGTATATATCAGATGGCGGACACTTCGATCATTCAGTCTGAACACTATAGCGTTTCTCGCAAAATCGTAGCAAAATTTTTGATGCTCTGTTAAGTGAAAACACTGATAAACAAAATCGAAACAAACGTTTTTTGATATTCTGTTAAGCGAAAGCATTGATAATTAAATTTACTTTTTTATAAAAATGAAATCTATGAACAAGATTTGTAGCAGCGAAGATGAATTTGGGATGATATTTGGATCGATTGATAACATTCTAAATGAACATAAAGACCATGTGACCCTGATGTCGAATTGGTGCGATGCTGGCATGACTACCGTAAAAAGTTTTCAACAAGATGGTATCGAAATTGCTATTATGAAACCAAACGTTATTTTAAAATATATTGAATTTATGGGCGGCGTTGATCGTGCCGATCAATATATATCTACGTAGTGTTTTATACGAAAATCCTTAAAATGGTGGTGAAAGTTATTTTTTATAAATGGGTACATTTTATATAAAATGGTGAAAAAGTAGAGAAACCAGCAATCAATCAGTCATTTAAAATTTGTGAAATTATTAGTGAATCAGCTAGAAGGAGATTATCGACAAGACGGTGGAACTGGCCGTGGTTCTACATCTGCAACTACCGATAACCGTATCCGATTAAATAGTAAGCTACGTGTTATGCAAAAAGGAGAAAAAAAAGATTGTAGAGTGTGCTCTGACCGAACGAAAAAGAAAAGCGGGAGACTTGAAACGGTGTATTACTATGACAAATGCCCTGGAAAACCTAGGATACACCTCGGAGAGTGCTTCCTCAAATATCACAGTAAGGAAAATTATAAAATTTAATATAAAAATATTATGTTTATAGTATCTAAATAAAAATGAAACAAGTGAATAAACTACTTTTGTTTAAAATTCTTATGTTTGATATGTTACAATTTTTTATTAAAACTGCTGTCGGGTAGCTGAATACCCATGCTAAAAAATGATTCGGGTGCAATGGGTTAAAAACTAAGAAAACTAAATCAAAAATGCCTAAAAATCAATTCTCAAAGTAAATATAAATCAACAGACATTGCTTTCTCTCAAACTAAAAGAGTAAATAAAATTTTGCAATAACAATGCCAGCAACAACACGGTGGTGCCAAGTACTCAAGGAAAGCCTCTTTGACCAAACATAATTTTACAATAACTATGCGAAAGAGCATTAGGGAATGCTGCGACGTCCTCCTCTCAGCGTTAACAAAATTTTATAGTACCATTGAAAAATTGTAGAGGCGCTGAATAAAATGACTGCGTTCTGCATCATGCATGGCGCAAAATAATAAATCAGTTGAGCGCAAAGCTTGCGTGCATTGCTAAAGGGAAACACATGGTTAACGTTTGTTTATATAAGCGGTAATGAAGAAGTGCAAAATTAATAAAGTGAAAAATTAGTTTAAAAATTATTCTTTAAAGCAAAAAAAGAAAAGTTATATTTTTTGGAAGCAAAAAGAAGGATGCCGTGTGCAACGTTTAACTAAAAATCGTTGCCTTCCAGTTTTACGAAACCTTTAACCAAAACTCCATGCAATGATATATATGCATATTATTTTATATACATTGCCCCTATATATACAAACTCATTTGTTTGTTTACACATTTTTGAGTAAAATAGTTACTCGATCTATTTCAGTACCGAGTTCCTGAACTAACTCCTGACTTTTTTTAGCTCGGGATTATTGCAGTAGATCCACTTCTCATCGCTAGTCCCAGTACGCCACAGACTACTTTTTTCGTTTTGTCTGGCAACCAATGAAACAGCGATGTTGAATTAATTCGAAACGGCATTTTCAATCAAATCGTGTGGTCACCATTTGCCCTCGTTTTGGATCGTTCACAACGCATGCAGACGTTTGGAAACAGTTGATTCATCAGCTGTTCAGCTGTTCGCAAATTCTTTGAAAGTTTAAACTGGGTTTTCGTCCAATAAGTCTTGCAATTCGTTGTCTTCGAACTTTTTTAGTTCTCTAGGCCGTTCTTTATCATTGACATCGAAGTCATTACGATGGAGTAGCATCACCTTGAGCTTCTGAACTAGCTTGGTGGGCTTCGGCAGCAGATTTCTTTAAATCAAACAACAAAAGTAATGAATGTCGAAAATGCAATTTTGAGCGCTCAATGATTAGTGTCTGTATACACTGTATATCTCAATAATACTAAATTGCAAACTGTTATTTTATATTTATAATATATTTTTTAATTTCGTTTTATGAATCGGCGAGATAGGCGTAATTCGTGATCTGACAAGAAAGAAGCAAGAGATTGTTTTTCGAATGTTCAATGGAGAGTAAATACAGTGAGTCTCATTAATATTTCGCTCGCCAAAAAGTGAACGCTTGTTAAACCTAGCCAATTGTCCAAACATAAAAACCTTCTATACTACTTTGTACTACTAAGGAACACATATTAAAATATAAAGAAGAAACACAAACAAAATATTATTCCAGTAGACAAGAAAATTAAATAACTTCAACAACTTCAAAAGTATAGCGTCATTAATATAGGGTTTTTTCATATAAGGAAGGATATGAAGAAAAAACAGCATATTAATAAAAATTAATATTTGGAGGGGTATCCTTTTTACTTGACGCCATTTAAACTTTTTGACATATTTTGCATAATTTTTTTTTGTAGCAAACAGGAATCTTTCTCCATTCCTCTTACGGTCTGTTTTTCAGGCCTTGAACGGAATTGAGTGTTTTGGCACATGGCGGTCCAATCCATCCCACATATTTTTGATGGGGTCACGCTTGGGGTAGTTATATAAGAGCCATTCGTGAATTAAGCCGAATTTACGCATGAGGTCGTTATCTTTGTAGAAGCAATGCAGTGAAACCCAATTTTATTTTTTCGGTAAGTTTAAGTATTCTATTTGCTACAGCATTTTTCAATCAAGTAAGCATTGTCACCATTGATAACCTCTTGAAGCCAACAACTCTAAAATCATGGCTAAGCACAACATTCTCTCTTTAGATTTTCGTTTGCATTGTTTGAGGTTATGTCGTTTTCATGCTCAACAAACACACGTTACTAAGATATAAAGGGTAATCGCTTATCAGAATGTTAGTTTTCGCTTTGGTATTCAGATGTTTCCCAAAAACGCGAAAGTTAAATTCTTAATACGTTTTTACTCCCTTGTTTTTTTAAGGGTATATCCTTCTTTTATTCAGCTCAAGTTGTACGTTAAATTGTCTCTAGCAAGAGAGGTTTCAAAATATTTCGCATAATTTTACAAATCCTTGGGAAACTTTTCATAATAAGCCCTGTAATTATATATAACAATAATTTCTAATGCTCTAAGCCTTGTCTCAATGACAATGGGACATCTGAACTTTCTGCGTCTTTTAAATTTATGATTAAGGAAAGCTTAAGAGTAAAAGTAAGAAGAATAGGTAAGTACGCAACTGAACTTTTCTAGTCATTGAAACAAAATGTTTATCGTGTTCCTATAATCTTATCAACGATCATCTGTCTTAAGTTTTAATGATTAATATAATCATCTTCGTTGAGTCATTATTCAAAAATTTACTGTGTTACAATGTTACATAGCATTTCGTAAGTTAATACCAGCTGATTTTTTAAAAGTGTAATTTAGAATGTAACAGATACGTTTCAACCTCTACAAAAGGTAATGTAAATTTAGTTCAGTCTTGCACGCTATACCTTAAACAAATCTGTGAAACAAGATTGGACGATGATATTAGTGGTGCTTTTGTTGCGGCTTATCTAAAATTCGGATAAAGAGTGCGATAAAAACGATGCAACATTCCTACAGAATTGCTTTTATTTGCAAAGCAAAAACTTCACATCATTGACGCGGCTTTCAAAGAATTTCATTTGTAACAGGAGTTCCATATAGGATGTGACAAAAGCATTACTATTATATTAAGTTGTGTGTTGAGTGAAAAACGCAGCGCTTTAATAAACACTATAGTGATAGAAATCTTTGGCTTAGGGATTCTATGAAAAATAACATATAGTTCTCAATTATGTTTTGAACACAAATATTATGGTTTTATCGGCAGTGGTAAAACCCCCCATGTTTAACCGAATTGACAGACGCAAAGGACTCTTCTGGTTTTCTCGGCCAATTGCTTCAAATCGGGGTTCCAATTTAGGCCTACGCCGAGATATTTTGTCTTATTTGAAGAAAAGAGTTCAATGTCCTTCAAGAAGAGGTTACTCAATGGCAGTCTCCGGTTCCTATGACTAAAGTCCGCATTAAAACAGAGAATGCTTCCTTTTCAGCACAACCTGTAGTAGACATGATAGTCAATGACGTTTCTAACACCTCAGTCATAATGGGCATGGACTTCAGCAAGACTATTATCCAAGAGGTAATCATGTTCGAAATATTTTTCTTTTCCAGACTTTTCTCAATAGCCCTGTAAGAAGTGTCATTAAAATCCTTGTGCATGTCGGTTGAGACAATCAATCCTTATTACACCCGCTCAAGGAATGCCATCGTAGTAGTTTTGCATTTTGATAAATAAATGGGCATTTATGGAATCTTAATAACGGTATGACCAGTATTTTAAAACACTTTAAAGTTTTGAAAATGGGTATTGGTACCCAATGATACAATTTGTGCGTTGAAGTCCACGCTAAGTGGATCAAGAAGGCCGATTGATTTTTGACAGATGCTGCAAATCATGAAACCTTCGAAAAAAAGAAAGGGGAAAAATTTGGAAAGGCAATATTGTAGTCCTGTAGCGCTGCATTCAACTAAGTGCATTCACCTAAGTGCAGCGCTGCACATAGACGACCTAATAAACTCTTGCACTCTATTTGTTGCAGGATATAACGAAG